GGGTGGGGTAGAGCGGGGCGGGGTGGGGCAGAGTGGGGCGGGGCAGAGTGGGGCGGGGTAGAGCAGGGCAGGGCATGGCGGCCTCACCTTCTTCTCCGCTGACCAGCGAGCTGAGCTGATCCTCCACGCTGGAGCACATCTGGCTGATCAGATCCTTCTGCACGGACTGGATCTGCTCGAAGTTCGCCACACTGAACACGCGGCGGCTGTACGGCGTGGACGCCATGAGCCTCATTTCTTCTTCGTCAGCATGGTGGACACCTGGCGGGGACAGAAACTCCCTCAGCGCGCCATTCTCGTTCCCATCACAAACACGAAGCTTTTTTGGTTCCCGTCCGTCTGCCAAATCCGTCCTGAGCTCTAACACGACCCCGTTATAATTTACTGAAGGACATTTCATTCTGCTTTCACTCCAAGCCAGTAAAAAGTGGAAAATGAGCATGACTTTTCCACGTTCGCTGACTGAACAGATTTTGTTCCATTCTGGCAAGAAAGTCTGACAATAAGAGCCGTAAATATGAAGCTGGTTGGAGTTTAACAGTCCTATAATGCTCTGCAATTCTCTGACATTGTTATACGAGCTGCAGCCTGTCGGTTTATTTAAAGTTCAGCTGAATGAGTCACTGCAGAGAGGAAAACAGATTTACTGTAGCAGCCAAACACTTCTGAGTATCGATATGAAATCTCTGAAGTCTCTGTGCACATGTTCTCTGAGATCTGAGAGAAACATTCAGGAACAATAACACTCAGATCAGATCATGAAGAAGCCAGATTTAGTTTTCCATTCCGGGACATTTTCAGCTCTCTGGGCCCACAGAAGCTAACAGAAACCAACAGAAGATAACAGAAACCAACAGAAGCTAACAGAAGCTAATTGAAGCTAACAGAAGCTAACAGAAACCAACAGAAGCTAACAGAAGATAACAGAAACCAACAGAAGCTAACTGAAGACAATAGAAGCTAACAGAAGCTAACTGAAGCTAACAGAAACCAACAGAAGCTAACTGAAGCTAACTGAAGACAACAGAAGCTAACAGAAGCTAACTGAAGACAACAGAAGCTAACTGAAGCTAACTGAAGACAACAGAAGCTAACAGAAGCTAACTGAAGCTAACATTCTCATGTCGTGAAGTCATGCTAACATGCGGCCATTAGCAGAAGGTGCTGTGGGTGGAGCCTGTTGCTCAGGCAACATCCAAATCTGAGATATGTGCACAGACAGGCAGAAGATGATCGACACGCAACGATCTTGAATTTCATCCTCCTAATAATTATTAAAATGTTTAAACTGAATCCATAAATTTCCTCACGTCATTTTTTCACAGCAGAACGGAGAGAAAGTAAAAATGACTTAAACAGGAAACTATGGGGAGAGTTTAAAAAGTTACTCAGTCAAACTGCATATTTTGAGTTATTGACCCTGTCAGGTCAAAATGGCATATTTTCACCAGGTTATTTATTTCTTTATTAACTTAATGTTGGTATTGCCTGAAGCAGAGATAATTAGATATTAACTTTCTGCCTGTTTTGTTCTGCTGCTGTATTTTTAAACTAATCTGGACGGAAAGTTTTCCTGCAGCTCTAACTCATCCTGCCACATGAAACAAAGTCTGGATTTATGGCTGTTATCAGCTTCTGCTGCACAACCTGGAAATATGTTTGCTTTAATAACTCATGGAGCCTTTTTTCCACCGCTGCCGTCCAAAGGATGAGCTGCGTCAGTTCCCCCTGTTATCGCCGTGGCAACAGTCTGAGTTTGTGGAAAATTTGCGAGGAGCCAGAATGTAAACGCGTTTCACTCGCCGCTTCTCATGCCAGACGGTCCGGCGGCTCACCCAGGACGAACACGTCCACGCCCCGGCTCCTCAGCTGCCGGGCGGCGCCCTCCACCGGGTCGTCCGACTTCCCATCCGTGATGATCAGAAGCAGCTTGGGGAAGTCCTTCCTGGAGCCAGCCGCCTCGGTGAAGCCGCTGGCCAGCAGGTGGCTGAGCGCATCGCCTGAGCAGAAACCAGACGGACGTTTCAGCTGGAAACCCGGGAGCAAATAACCAGATTATCAAACCTCAATCTGGATTATGAAGACAAAACACAGTTTAGTGAATAGAAACAGAAACCTGCAGCAGAACATTAATGAAATATTTACTCCTGCAAGATTCTGATTCAAACTTCTCATCTTTTTATGTTTTTAATATTTCTGGGTTTATGCTACTCCAAAAATAAAGTTTTATTGATCTGAATTGATCTACATCCATCCATCCATTTTCTAACACCCGGTCCAGCGGGTCTGGAGGAGCTGCTAACGCTCGGGAGAGAGGCAGGTCACCTGGACAGGTCGCCAGAATTAATCTACACTTTAAAATTAATTTATTATAGAAAAGGAAACTTTTATTCCCATATAAACCCACATATTACTATTTTATTAAACGTCATAAACTACTAATAATTGCAATAAATAATAATCCTTCAAAGGAGTGGGTAGAAATATGAGCATATTAGAATCTGCAGCAACATCACATTTATGATCTCCTGTTTCTGATCAATATAGCAATCTACTGTCAGATTATTGATTAATGCAATCCATTGAATAATACAATATCACTAATATTAACAATACTAATTATGATAATATTGATGCTAATGATGTTATACTAACAACAATAACACAAATTAAAATAGCTTCTCATATTTAGTGCAGGTTTTGAATTTATCATCTGAATCTGTGTTTAAATGAGGAGATATCAGATGTCCGAGTGCAAGTGAATGCATCACGGTACGACCTGCAGCAGTCGGACTGCTGGCGACCCGGTTCTGTGTGGTCGAAGAGAACCGGGTCGCAGTCCAGAGAACTGAAAAATGATTACAGAAACCAAACATTGGTTTTCTCTACAGTCAGAGAAAATGTGAGGAGTGAGACCTCCTGTCTGGGTGGGAGGAACCAACCAGCTGAGCGCGTGTCACTGTCTCTATGGCAACGGGTTTCAAACCCAGAAAGTTTTTCTGTTTTTACCTGAAGGTTGAGGAGTCAGCAAATCCCTCCACATGTTGAGGATTTAAAAAGAAAACTGTTAAAAGAAGCTGAACGCTCCTGAATATAGAACTAAATAACATAGATCTGTAATTAAAGCGTAGATCGTCTGGGTGTGAGGAAGGTCCTTTAAACCCAGGTGAGTAAAGTTTGACTTTTCTTCAGTGTGGTGATTTAAAAGGAAGTAACACCAGCAGGGGGCGCCACCAGCGCCTCTCACCTGTCCTGGTGCTGCCTCCCTTGTACGGCAGCGAGCCGATGGCCTTCATCAGAGCGGGTCGGGTCAGGTGTTGGTTCAGGCTGAACTCGGTCCGCGGGTCGTCACTGTACTGGACCACGCCAACGCGGGTTCTGTCCTCACCGATCTGGAACGCTCCGGCCGCCGCCGCCATGAAGCTGCGGATGTGCTTAAAGTTCGGCCTGCCGACGCTCCAGGAGCCGTCGACCAGGAAGAGCAGGTCAGCGGCAGCAGAGGCCGGGCACCCTGGGAAAGAACCAGAACCAGAACCAGTTAGTCACATCTGGACCAGTTAAAGTCATACTAACTGGGTCCACAGAAATCGTTCAACTGATTGTTTTGTTTTTCAAGATGGCCGACACAGCTGTCATGGAAAATTTATTTTTGCCCTGGAATTGCTAATTATATTAAAGTGTTTGGTGTTGAACTGCAGCCTATTTTGAATCATAGAAATATTTTCTTGATCTTGTTTATGTTTCACTAAAATCTTAAGTAGTTATTGTCAGTTAGCCACTAGCCACTAACCAATCATTTTAGCTCTGCTAACACTAAACCACAGAACACATTTAAAAAGTTAGCTCTGCTATTGCTGAACCACTAAACGCATAATAAAATTAGCAGAAGCTACTAAACTACCAAAGATTTTAAAAGATTACTGGAAGCTAAAGGCAAACCACTATGCACATAAAAAAGAGCTATGCTATCGCTAAGTACAACAAAATGACTGAAGCTAATGCTAATCGTTGTTTCTTCTTCTCCTTCCTGGTGTGAAACTTGCCAACAAAGTCCTGTTTCTGATTCTGCTGCATTTATTCAACTTTAGAGTTGAATAAACACGATGACCAAAGTCAAAAACACCGGATGTAGCATAAAGTTAATCCAAGTCATAAAATGGGTAACATTTTATAAAAATAATTGGCTTAAAAGGTTCCAAAATGGCGGCCATCTTGAAATCCAAGTAGCTAATGGGAAATATGAAAAACATACAACCTGAGGTGACAATGCGATTGTTTTTAAAATTAGTTTCCTTGAAATATTTTTACAGTAATAAACTCCACTAAATGACTCGGCAGCAGTGAGTCACAAATAAAGTCTGAAAAGCAGAAGGAGTTTAATAAGGAGCTCCAGCAGGAAGCGTTGAGTTGCACATTTACTGGTTTTCTAAATCATGGTGTGTTTCAGTGTAATCATCAGGGCTTTCACAAGGCTTGGCTCACGCTGCACATTAGATCAGCCTGTTGTAGGCAGAGGCAATTAACCAGCTGCTCTGCCTTCTGGAAGTTTCCTTCTGACTTTCCTCTTGTGAAAAGTGGGAAAATTCAGCCCAAATTCGTCATCGTTTGCAGATCTGGGCCCACAGAGGCTGCAGCAGCAGCGTTCCTATAAACCAGCAGATCTGAAATGGTTTCCATTTCCACCAGGGCATCAGAGCTGGACTCCAAAAACAGCCTCAATCCTGACCTATGACCCCCGCAGTGAGTGCCTGCAGCTGATTCAGAAACTGGCACCACTGGTTGGCAGAAAACCGTCTCTGATGACCAAGAACATTTGAGTTTTATTGGGTCCCATCAGGACATTACTGTACAGTTGGGTCCAGTTTGTTGGGAACCGCCTTCTGCTACCATTAGCCTGAAGATAACATGAAACCGATTTACTTCTGCTGTGGTTCATCCTGCAGCGACAGAAACTGAATATTAAAGAGTTCAGTAACATCAGGTTTGCTCCGTGGTTAAATGAAAAAAGGCTCTGAGCTAATTAGGTCAGCTAGCTAAACCAGCTCAACAGCTTCATCTCCAGCTAAAAGCTAAACGCATATTAAAGTCCGTTAGCTGGTAGCTGCTAACAGAACCAAGATTTCAACTGGCATTGATACATTATTATTTTTATGTTCTTGTTGTTTTATTATTAATTAGCTGGTTAGATTAGTCAGCTAAACCAGTACAACAGCAGTTCTGGTGGTAAATTAGTTTGTTTGGTTAGCTAAACACTTCGCTCTTAATGAAACTGTTATGTTGTCTCTAACAGCTTTAAGTGTCTAAAACAAGTTTAATGATTAAAAAGGCAACGTCTGGTAGTTAGCTGACTTTGCTAACTGCTAACCCGCTGTTGAAATGGTTCAGATTGTAAACTAATCCAGGTTCTGATTAGAGCTAATGGCTAACTAGCGTCAGGTATGTTACATGAGTGCCTCTGCTGTAAAGCAGGAAGGTTTCCTGTTTAGAAGAAGCAGATCAGAACTTACTGACTGGATTGGAGGAATCGGGTTTCCTGGCTCCTCCTCTGGAGCTGCTGCTGCTCGACTCAACTGGAAGACAAACGGTTCAGCCATCACATAATCTGTTGCTTTAAAACCTGAAGCCAGAACTGAAACAACCTGCTGGACGTTTCATCCCCAGATCACTGAGTTTAGCTTTATCTGCCTTCAGCCGCCATGTTCCAGCAGCAAACTGGTACCAGCACCAGTCCTTAACTGGAACATGGAGGAGGAACTGGGACTTTTCCAGTGTCGTTAATTTTAACACTTTGCTTCCCTTCATTACAAACTCTGGATCCACTGGTTCTAAAAACCATTTACATTCATTTTATGTCTGCCTGGAATCAGATAGTTTAAATTCTTCTTCTCCTGGAGTTTTCCGGCCCGGATCAGGAATGTTCAACTATCTTACGTAACATTCACTAAATAAACATCGTTCACAGTTTGTTCTCGTTGGGCAAGAATAACTGAAATCAGTCAAACTGATTCCTCTGCAGTTTTTTAGCTTCTCACTGATTGAGTGTGTGAACATAAGTGAAGCAGTGGCAAACTAAAGGGAGGGTCAGTGGGGCCCAAAGCCCCCCCACTGGAAAAACAACAGTTTTATGAATTATATGTAATACCAGAGGTCGTGTTTACGGAGTATTTTCCATATTTGACAGGTTATTTATTTAAAATACGGGAAAATTTAAAGCCCGTCGGTCATTTTGACAGGTTATAATTAACACCCCTGACTGGTGCACACGGGGAAACATTACAGACTTTATGCTAAGATTTAATCGCAGAGGCAACTGAAATCAATTAATTAAAAATCCTTTCTGAAAATCATCTCTGAACTAAATGTGTGTTGAAGAGTGATGGACCAGACGCTTTGGAGCGTCTGGTTAGGAAGCGGATTACAAACCTTTGGTAGAAACGGAGCGTTAAACTCAAGTCTCCATTCCAGACCAGAGAAAACCAAAGGGAACCCAACGTTGAGCTAATCCATTACAGTCTAAACAGAGGAGCCGGCAGATTATCTTGAGGACATAAATGATGGCGAAGTTATTAGACCGTAACATGCGCAGTGCGCTGCGGCTGCACAACCAAAGCGGACGCGGCCCCGCCGCTGCGAAGGGTTAAACTGAACTCATCCTGCGGTTTTAACAAATGGAGCTGAAGACGTTACTGTCCAGGAGAGGGCATACGTAACATCTGTCCGTTTCAGGGAGGCGAAACCACACAAAAAAAGAAATCCTCATAAAAGCGCCGCACGGGGTAGAAAAAGGTCCAGCTGACCGATGAACCGGCACAGATTTCCCTTCAGATCTGACCAGGAGGAATTAGTGAAGCTGTGAGTTCAGACCTCCGCAGGTGAAGTGATGTAATTTAAGTGGAGCAATTTAATTTAATTTATTATAAGTTATTGGGGCCTCAGTCGGTGGTTTTTGTCACTACGCAGAAAAACTTAGTTGTGTTCATCTGCTGGATTCACGGTTCAACTGGGCGACCTCTGTATAACATCATAAATACATTTATTTACCTTCACCTTAAAGTTTTTACTGGCCTGATCAGAGGAAATGAACTTTCTCCTAAAACCGTTTAGTAATAAAATCTGAGCTCCAGCTTTGGCAGCGACACTTTATCTGAAATAAATGACAAAGTTTCTGTTTAAATCAGAAATCCAGGCGGCGCTGACTCATCAGCCGTCTTCCTGTTATGTCTCCCAGTTACTGCTGCTGGTGTGTTGGAGCGACCAGCTGCTGAAGTGCTTGGTTGGACGGCGTTCAGCTTTCCGTTTGGTGACTCACGTGTGAGCTGGCCAGAGATGGGCAGACTCTGCTGGGATCCGGCGAACGCCACGATGGTGACCACATAGTCCACATCAGGACTCAGCTCTGAGATGGAGGTCTTAGTCGCAGAGGCAGGCAGAGAAAACTGTCTCGCCGCTTCGCCTGCAACAAAGTAGAGAGTCAGAAGGAAGCCATTAGGAAACTATGACATGACTTCATCTCTCCAAGAGTCAAATCTGACTCCAAGTGCTGACCTGCAGCGCTGGAAGAGCCGAGGAAACAACAGTTTAATGAAAACTTTCCACATTAAAGCTCAGCACATGCTTTAACTCCTTAATACTCTCAAATCTGGCATGAAATGGTTGGTAACTGCTGCAGAAAACATCTCCTGGTTCCAGGTAGAGAGGAGACGAAGCCTGGATTAGGAGCTGAACGCTGGATGACAAACGGATGGAAGACATTTAGAGGAATGTTGTTTTTCATCTCCGTCAGTCACGGTGGGTTCATGTTTTCCCTGAAACGTTTCCACGCAGCGCAGAGCGAAAAAAACTCGCAAACTTTTCCAGAGCAGAGGAAAAGAAAAACCTGATGTGAAAAACTATCACACCCTCAGCTGAGCGGTTTGAAGAACCCTCAGACTCTCCACAGTCAGCCAGACGATCAGATGGCTTGGGGGCAGAGTCCACAGCATAATGCTGCCACCACCGTGCTTCACAGCAGACCAGCTGCTAGCCAGCCAACAGGACGTGTCTGTTTTCATCGGACCGGAGGATTCCGACGGCTAAAATGAAATCAGGCTGACATGATGGCAAAATGCCACCAATGTTCCCAGGGATTTTTTTTAAGACAAAAAATAAACACTAGCCACTGAAAAATTCAAAATGGCTGCCATTTTTAAAGATGGTTGTCAATACAAATGTGCCAATATAATTCCCAGATTAATATTTTTGGTGTGAAATGATAAATTATCAGACTCACTAAACTTGTATTTACTGATAATTTTTGTATTATTCAAGATGGCCGCCATCTTGAAAAATCTTGTCAGAAAATACATTTTTGCCGTAAAATATTAATGTGTTTGGTGTCGACTCATAAACTACATATTTTAAATCATCATTTTAAAACCCATCTATTTTACTTGGCTTTCAGCTCCAACAGGATCTAGTTTTAAATTGTTTATTGGGTTTTAAACTGAAAGAGTTTTATTTATTTTATTTTTTTGTTATGTTGTGTTTTAATGTATAGCACTTTGTATCAGCTGTGGTTGTTTTAAAGTGCTTTATAAATAAAGTTGATATGGTATGGCATCATTTATTTTTTGACCTTGTTTCTTTTTTGTTTTGTGAATATTTTTCAAAATGGCCGCCCTGATTGTAATGGAGATTTTATGTGTTTGCACTAAAATCAGCAGCAGTTACTGACAGCGATGGGCACAGCTAGCCAAAATGTTAGCTTCACTAACCACTAATTCACTAAGCAAGAATTTTAGCCATGCTAATGCTAGACACATAAAAACACAATGGAAACCAGCAATAAACACATATAAAAAATTAGCAGAAGCTAATGCTAACCTGCTAAACACACATAAAAAAATACTTTCTAGCTAGCAGTGTCCGCTACTGAGTTTTGTTTTGATTGCCGTTTTCTTTGGGCGGATGATGAGTTTTATAGCAGAAAGTCTCAGAGATGTGATGGTCACATGATCTGCTCAGGTATGTAGTGATGTCATCATTACGTCATCAGGAGCTCCTACCTGAGTCAGAGGTCACGTGTATCCTGTAGCCCTGTATCCTGCTGAGCGGCCGACTCCAGATCATCTGAACCGTGTTCTCATTTAAAATCTTAAACCTTAAATTGCTTGGCGCGTCCACTGTGGAGACAAAACGTCAGCGGTTAGCGGTTAGCGGTTAGCGCTGCGGCTCAGAGGCACGCGGATAATCTGAAGGGCGGCCAACAGTCAACGCTTCCTGGAGGAAGTCAGAGCAGCTCACTGTTGGAGGAAACAGACAAACAGAGAGACGACAAGAAGAAGAACCAAACCCAGAGATGGTTCTGTTCTGGGAACACTGGGAACACTGGGAGAGTTCAGGATCTGACCAGGAGGAAACAGTGACTGAAAACCTGAATGTGAACAAAGTTTATCTCAGTTCTTCAACCGATAAAGTAAAATAAATGAATTTAGACTTTAAAACGTCTCATTAATGAAACTGCAAGGAATTATTTGTTGATTTTTTTTCCTGATTTGTTTTGTTTATTATATATATTTAATGGATTATTAGAAAAAACAACAGCTTATGGTTCTAAGGCTCCAACTGAAATCAAAATCAGGTGTTTTTACCCAAACTGGGAAAGAAAAACCAGTGCAACTGAAATAAGTTGTACTGGTGGTGCTGATGGGAACCTAGTGAGCGATGCTAAAGCAAAATGATGCAGGAGGGACCAGAAATACGTCTCCATGTCTGGTTCTGCTGTGAAACTGGACTGGACAGGAACCGTCAGACCCAGCAGCAGGAATAAACCCAGTTCACACGAGTTCAGCTCGAAAAGTGCAGAAATAATTTGGGTTATTTACTTGATCAAGAGAAAAAACGGAGGCTTATTTTTTAAAGTCACATTATCTCCAAGTTATTCATTCATGTATACATGTCACAGATTGCTAACCAGCAAGCTAACTACATGTTTAACATGCTAACTACATATTTAACATGCTTACTACATGTTTAACATGCTAACTACATGTTTACATGCTAACTACATTTCTAACAAGCTAACTACATGTTTACATGCTAACTACATGTTTAACAAGCTAACTACATGTCTACATGCTAACTACATGTTTACATGCTAACTACATGTTTAACAAGCTAACTACATGTTTAACATGCTAACTACATGTTTAACCAGCTAACTACATGTTTACATGCTAACTACATATTTACATGCTAACTACATGTTTAACAAGCTAACTACATGTTTAACATGCTAACTACATGTTTAACATGCTAACGACATGTTTAACATTCTACTACATGTTTTTCCCTCTGCTCCCTCCCTGCCCTTGTCTGCCCTGCTTGCTCTGTTTTTCTCTTTTTCTATATTTTTGGAGCCTTTCTTTGCACATCGTCCAAATCTACAAATGATGGATCTGGTCACCAGATCTCTCAATGCAATTTATCAAATTTTCGACGAGAAGTCTGGGTGTAGGAGAGCCTCTTTTCCTGCGGGGACACACCCGGCAGGATTCACCCTGGATTTATTCATGATAACAGGATTTCTGCTGTTTGGAGCTTGTGGATTCCTGAATTATTGACAAATTTGTGATGGACTTGGCCGAACTAGCAACACTCTGACTGTTGGTGTGGACAGACACGCAAGTTGGATGTGAGTTTTGCTGAGACTCGCAGCCCAGCTGAGGACTCTAAAACTCACTAACGGAATGGAATCGATCTTGGAGAAGTTGCTAGTTTCAGCTCAGTGGAACGGCCAAACTAATTTGGATAATTGGGAACTGAGATGTATCTCAGAGACTTTAGGGAAGATTGAAATCTATAATCTTCCAGACCTAAGACATTCTGTTTCTGAATTGGCTTTCCCTGTGTGGCCTTGGAAGGGCTGCATATTTCTTATTTCCTTGAAGATATGTAACCATAATGCTCTTCCCTCCTCACCCCCTCCTGTATCCATGCAGCTGTGGAGCTGAGCAGTTCCAAAGACATTCCTAGATAACATCACCTCTATCGGACTCTGCCAGGGGCTCAGTAACGTTCCTTCATGGCCCTGTGACGTCACCGACTTCACTCAAGTCTTTGTTTTGCCCTTTGTTTTGTCTGAATGTTGCCATTTGCCCTAATGTGTCCTTTCCTCTTTTTTGTTAGAAACGGTGGAGTACTCCCTATTTAACCCAGAAAAGGATTAAGGTCAGTCATTCTTTAGCTTATTTTATCAGAAACTGTAGAGTTTCACTATTTAGAAATGGAATTAGATACTTAGCAACCCTGAACAGGAGCACTCAGTTTACAGATTTTAGAACATTAGATTAGTTTTCTTTCCTCTTTTTTCTTTCCTTTGGTTTGTTGTTTTGTTTGTATTTCCTTTTAATTCATGTAAAGCACTTTGAATTGCCTTGTTGCTGAAAATGTGCTATATAAATAAAATTACCTTACCTTAACATGCTAACTACATATTTACATGCTAACTACATGTTTAACAAGCTAACTACATGTTTACATGCTAACTACATGTTTAACAAGCTAACTACATGTCTACATGCTAACTACATGTTTACATGCTAACTACATATTTACATGCTAACTACATGTTTAACATGCTAACTACATGTTTACACTAACTACATGTTTACATGCTAACTACTTGTTTACCTGCTAACTAATTTAGCTTCACGCTACATGTTTAGCTTGAGACGGTGACATTTCGACATGAGTGAACAAAACGGTGATAATATGACTTGAACTGAATTTTCTTCCCTTTCCAGATTCAGTGCCTCAGGCTGTTGAACGTTTTCCTTCCTGTGGAACCCACCATGCGGCGGCGCCAGTGGACGCTCCCTGACCTCAGTCCAGCTCCTGGGGTCGGATTGACCAGATGAACCAATCAGGGCTGATCATGCAATGGGTCGGTGACCTGGGACTCTTCTGTCGCCTCCATTGCAAACCTAAAAGACGCAGCGGTTCCTCTGACCCACTGCGTCTTTTCTCCTTCTGCTCCACAGGTTCTTAAACTGCTTCACCACAAACACCAGAACCGCTCAGATTCTCCTGCCACCAACCAGACACTTTATCAGGGCCACCCGATTGGACCCAATTGACCAGAATCTGAGGGTCCACCACACCCCAAAGGTTCTCCGCTGGATGAAGACCTGCCGACTGGAGAGACGTCTGAAGGTCCAGAAACCGGGTCCGATTCTGGTCTGATCCAGTTCTGGTCCGGGTCTGCTACGTTGGATCTGATCCCAGGTTCTACATGTTCACAGTGTTCTGCTGGGTTGGAACCAGTGGTTCTTCACTAACAAGACCTCATCCTCCAATCGGCTGCTCTGGATGTTTTCTGTCTCAGATCCTCGATGGTTCTGGTCCGGTTCTGGTCGCCATCTTCACCGGCAGACCCTCTACAGGTCTACAGGTGTACCTAATAAAGTGGCCGGTGATTCGGTGAGTGAGTTCGCTGGTTCTGTTGTGAATTCAGCAAAAACTAGTTTAAGAACCAAAGTTCTCAGCAGAGGAACCGGAGGAGCAGCAGGACGACCATGCAGGGGTACACGGAAAGTTGCTTTGGACAACTTGGAGCAACAAAAAGAAAGTCTCCGTGTACAGAGGACGAGTGGACAGAGGGACGAGTGGACAGAGGACGAGTGGACAGAGGGACGAGTGGACAGAGGCCTAATGGACCTCAATATTTCACCATGATCCTCTTCAGGTTGGGGTGAGCGGAGCTGCCGGCGCCTAGCTAGCTTCTTGTCATCTGGATTAAAGCTTCATGCAAACAGACGAATCCAGAGGAACTGACCTTCTCTAAGCAGGAGAAACGGTTCTGAGTCTATGAACCGACGAAACGTTCACGGGACCTGGATAAAGAAGAATCTGATCTGGATGAACCCGAGCAGCTGGTTCTGGTTCTGATTCTGGTTCTAGCTAGAGAGCAGAGAAGAGCCTAAACCACCAACCAGTCAGAGGGTTTGTGAAGAGCATCACCGTGAAATATCATCGTGAAGCCGAGACCCGGAGGCCGAGCCGCGGCTTGACCGGAAGACCACAGAACATCAGAGCTGGAGGGCCACCAACCTGGGGAGTCCGTCCCTGGGGCGGCGGTGGGGGGCCGGTGGGGCGGCAGGGGCCCCAGGCGGCGGCGGGGGGCGCGTGGGGCAGCGGGGGGCCCGCGGGGCGGCGGGGGGTGCTGGGCGCGGGGGGCGGCAGGGGGCCCGTGGGGCCTTCCGCTTCTTGACGGTTCCAGAAACTAACGGGGAATCCGTCTCCACACACACACACACACACACACACACACACACACACACACACACACACACACACACACACACGCACGCCGAGCCTCACACACAACCCGGACCGTCTCCTGTTCTAGAGTGTTTGACCTCTTCGTGACCCCGGGGAAGCGGCGCGGGGCCCCTAAATGACGGGGAGGAGGCCCCTTGCAGGAGAGGCTCTGACCTTTGAGCAGATCCAGATTTTCTGCTCTGGAAAATAAGCTGGAAGTCATATTGAGTCTTTTCCGTTCAGTGAGGAGGAGAGACGCTGGGAGGAACCTTGGCCACCTGAATCCAAGGGGCCCTTCGCTCCTGGTTCACTGAACTGGAACATTTCGTCTAAAATGTTTCTAGTTAGATTTTAGGCTAGAGCGCCTCCTGCTGTGACAGGAATGAACTCCATCTGCCACAAAGAGACGCAGAAACAGAAAAAACAAATTCTGTCCTTTATAATGTAATTAAGTGTGTGATATTCTCTCGTGATTTATGGTTTTGAACATATATTTAAGAGTCACGAACGGCACTGCGCTGAAGCTGAAGTCATGATTTAGAGGCAACATCTGGTCTGAAAGCTGCCATCATAAATCTGAGAGACATTTTTCAAATTCCTGCAAAAAGAAGCAAAACTGAGGCAGCGGAGAGAAAATAATCCAACAAATCAAATCACAAACACGCGTTTTGTTTCTCAGAGTTTATTCAGGATTTACTGCTGGAGAGGAGAGGAGAAGAGAGGAGGAAGAGGAGGAAGAGGAGGAGGAGGATGATGATGATGATGAAGCTTTACCTTGGTCCTGGGCCCGGGAGGAGGCCAGCAGCAGCAGCAGCAGCAGCAGGGCGCTCTTCATCTTCGGCTCCTCTTCCTCAGCTCAGCATGCGACGAGCTGCGAGGAGAAGAAGATGAAGGTCAGAGAGGAAACCTGACAAAGAACCGATTAACCGAAAAGAAAAAGAAAAACACTTTTAAACATTAAATCACAAATCTAACATTCATCATGTGAGGAAGCAGCTGGAGAAACTCTGCGCTCCTTCTCCCGGTCCGGTCCGGTTCTGATGCGCAACTATCAGACAGAAACGCAGTTTAACTCCTGCCTAGCGGGAGAAATTCACTGCGAAGAGGGGAAATGTTTCCACTGGTGAGGAAAAAGGTGGAGAAGTTTTGGCACCAGTGCGCAATTACGCACCGCGGTGCCAAAACCTGCTCCGCGCGCTAAGCAGATAGAAAATGTTTCTCTAAACGAAGCAGAAACCGGACTGACCTGCGCGGGAAGCTGCTGGTTCTGCTCTGAAAACGGGAAGAAAGCAGGAAGACTCGGGCTGGTCCGGTCCGGTTCGGGATCTCCGTGGGTTCTATGGCTTCCCAGCAGCGTCGGGGAGCCTCTTCCAAGTGGGGAGGGTTTCCACGCGGCCCGCTACTTAACAGGGGGGCTGCTCCCAGCACTCCCAGCGCTCCCAGCGCTTACGACACACAGCTGGGCCAGAAAGTGGTGCGTAACCTCTGAGAGGGCTGGCACGCGCACGGAAACTTTTCCATATTTCTGCATTCCTTTCCAATGATGGAGGACCGCGCGGCTGCAGATGGAGACGGCGGCGCAGCATGTCGGGAAGGGAAGGAGCAGAAAACTGTCTGGAAAACTGTCTGGAAAACTGGGAGAGTTTTCCCGTTTTTACGCGTCTTTCTGGATCATCTGCAGGTTTCAGCGTCAAACATCCAGAACTCATTTCAGTCAGAATAATAAATGTCTGCAGATGTTCGTCTATTAATGAGTTGAAACCTGGTTCTATTGAAGCTGGATCGGAACCAGAACATGCTGGCAAGTATTAAACATGACGTCATCACTGCTGTCTGGCCGCATTTTGACGTTTTAATCGGAGCTAACAACTTGAGGCAGGAGGAATGTGTGCGGCCTGCGGCGCCCCCTGGCGGGGTTCGGCCGCTACAGCAGCACGAATGTTTTCCACCAGGTGGCGCTGCAGCAGCGAGGGCCGTGAATAGCTGGATATTTATGGACCACTTTGCTTCTACTCAATATTTTGTCTTTTTTTTTTTTAATACTATTTTTTCCCCTGAATTTATTTGCTGAAATTTTAATAAAAAATCAAATTAAATATGTATTAAATATTCTAAACAAAATATTAAAAAATGTTTTACGCAACAAAATTCACACAAAAACTAAAGTGCTTAAAAAGGAAAACAACGAATGATGTCATTATTTAAATATTTTGACTCCACCCGTCATCTGGCTGGTCAACCTGCGGACCAATCAGCTTGTTTCTAACCGCATAAGCCCCGCCCCTTTTTAATAGACTCATGATTTGCTGCAGCAGAAAAATATAAATACAGAAATTAATTCAGCTTTTAGTTGATAACTGAATTTTAAGTTTAGACATTATTGAAGTGTTAAAGTTACTGCAGATAAATGTCAGGTGTGTGGACCGCTCTGGTTCTGGAACAAACGGGTCGGATCCGCGGTTCTGGGTCATCAGAGGTATTTTGTGTTTATTGATCCTCAAGTGAACAGAAATATCAAGTTACCGCTCCAAGAACATGAAACAAGAACACAGAGAGAGCAGGAAACGGGTCGGTTCTGATTCTGGAATATCATCTCTATACAAATGGGCCCGGCTGGAACCAGAACAACGATCCAGACCGGAGTCAGTCCTTCTTCTGAGGGAATGACGCCTTGACCAGTTCGTACAGCGTGAAGCCGACTCCTGCAGGGAGAAACGGAGCGTCAGAACAGAACCAGACTGGACCTCTGGACCGGATCGATCAGAACTTTTCTCACCCAGGACGGTCAGCACCATGGTGGCCCGGTACAGCAGGGCGTCGCTGCTGCCGCCCTTCAAATGGATCGGCATCCCGTTATCCTCCTGCAACAGAACCATCAGAGAAACCGGGTCAGAACCTGCTGTCGGGTCAGCAAACGGGTTAGACATGGACCAATGGGACCAGAGATCAGTCAAAGGTCAAAAGGTCATTTAATAAAAACAGTCCAGATATTTCTCCTGTGGTGGATATTTGAGTTTTATACCAAAAATCTTTTTAATTATTAAATTATGAGGAAAATGTGATTTTAATGAAAAGCTTCGATAGTTAATATCTGATATGATCCGTCTGGTTCTATTTGATGCTGACGAGTTAAAAGATAAAATATTTATCATTTCTAAAACTGATGCCAGAAAACTTCACAAGATGCTCAACAGTTATTTCCATTTATTATTATTTTTGTGGAGGAATTCTTTTAGAATGTAATAACTTTATTCTTGTATTATTCTGTAACAGAGTCGATCTGAGTCAAAGTGATTCGTTTATTTCAGGATCGACAAACTTCCATCATGGCGTCATCACAACAATCAGTCATCTGTTCTACATGCCTGACGCTCCTTTATGACGTCATCAAAGGGAGCCATTTGTACTTTTTAATCATACTTAACATGAAGACATATGCAACTTCTCGTTTATTCAGCAGAACCCCAAAGGTTCTGAAGTTTCTTCTCTGCTTTGAACCCACAAGTTCTGTCTTCATCTTCTTCTTCTCTAAAACTGTCAGTTTTATGTGTCGTTTCAGTTGTTTAAGTTCTTCAGTCGACATCTTAACTGATCTAAACTGGTTTTAGTTCTGAAAAAACCCAAAAGGTTTTGGGTTATTATCAATAACCTTCAGTTCTTCATTAAATTAAGAGGTTCTGTTCGGTTCTGGGGGATAAATGATCCAAAGAAGACAGAAAACCTGCAGAACCGCTGAGCAGATCAACAATTTGACCTTCATTCAGCTTCCTTGAGCCTGACCTCTGACCCAGCGTGACGTCACCGGTGTGTGAAGGTGGACCTGGACGTATGAAGGTGTGTGTTGGGGTGTTTGCTCACCTGGAACATCTTCTGCTTCTGGGGAACCTTGTTCTCCACCTGCCGGCGGGCAGAGCTGCAGATGCTGCGCCGCGCCATCTGCTGGACCGCCTGGGAAACGCACCCGGACACCGGTCAAACTCACTCACAGACACACACCCGCTACAACATTTTAATAAACTTCCTCTTGACCGTGTTCATGATCAGAATCAGAACCAGCTAGAGGCTGACAGGAGGTTCTGTTACAGCTAGAGCCGCTCCGGAAGCTCTCTGACCCCGGCAAGCTAAGTGAAGCTAAAACTAGCCGTTGAGTTGAGCCGCTTTAATCTAACTGGTCAGAACTAAATGGGCGCCAACAGCCGGAAGGTGAATAACCAGTAAAATCTACTCACATTCATGGTTCTGAACATCTTCGTGGACCCGTCTGGTAGTGCGATTCTAACACAAGGACACCGGAACTCAACTGATGCTGCTGTTGCTTCTTCTTCGCTCAGTGACGTTCTCCGCTTTGAGCGCTCCGCTACCCCCTGCCGGAGACTCAGCCAAACTACATGTTCAGTTTAACCTCCAATCCCCAAAAAATGTAGTTTCTGCGCATTAAAGTTCAGATTGAAAGGCATTAAATACTCATGTGTGTTTTATTGTTTTCTGGACTTCCAGAACCTCAGCAGAACTACGCCAGAAAAGGAGTCCAGACCCATAAGTGAGAGCAGAAAGTGAACAGAAAATGGAGATTCTGTTCAATGGGTCTAAAGTTCAGGCTTTCATGTCCTGAAGCCAGAACCATCAGAATAAACACCAGTTGTTTCTCTCTGAGAGGAATGGCTTCACATGAGCTTTACTTTATGATTTAAGTTGGTTTATAATCTTTCTGATCATTTTCAAATTTCAGTTCTAGATGTTCAGGACTTTAATTCACACTGAATCCTGAAAGGAGGTTTCAGAAATGTTCCTGCCCAGATTTCCCTGCAGTCCAGCAGTTAAAGCTAAAGTTTTCCCTCCTGAAAATTTCTTTATTTCATTTTGAAATCCATTGAACTTTGGTCACATTGCAGGTTTCAACTGTCCAGACCAGTAAGAGGAACTGGTTTACTGGTTTACCGAGTCCTGACCAGGTTAGAGCCCAAAAGCTGCAAATCTGAGGAACTTTCTCCTCGTTTTCGTCACTCCCATTGTCCAGACGGGAAGTGAGGAGCAGTCAAAGGAACAACAATCATGTTTTAAAAATTAAGAATTTATTAATTTAAAGCAACAATATTAACAATAATATTAAAGACAGACGTCATCAGTGCAGAAATGAACAAAAGAGGCATTTAGTTCATGCAGCACAGAGACCAAGAACAACAGAGTCTGAGCACAAATAACCAGAACCAGAACCGGGACACATGCAGCACCGCAACGCTCAGACCCACCGCAGGAACCAGGACCAGGACCGGGACCAGAACCGGGACCGGGACCAGAACCGGGACCAGGACCGGGACCAGGACCAGAACCGGGACCGGGACCGGGACCAGGACCGGGACCGGGACCAGAACCAGGACCGGGACCAGAACCGGGACCAGAACCGGGACCAGGACCGGGACCAGAACTGGGACCAGAACCGGGACCAGGACCGGGACCAGAACCGGGACCGCTCCGACGGATCGCTGTTCTCTGATAAATCTACATCAATCATTTAGTTTTAGGTTCTTCTGGATCTTTTCCTGCTTTTTCTTCTACATTAACTTTAAAAACAATTAAAATTAAACAGATCAGAAGGAAAATGTAAAGAAATAATGAATGGACCTGGATAATTCCTGGATCTAAACGCTGGAAATATTTATGACCAAAATGTGCAGAAATTATCTTTAAATTATCATCCTGTGTTTCTGCAGACAGATTATTATTATTATTATTATTAATGCCTGCTTCAGTACTAACGCTAGCACTAACATTCACAGTTGGATGGGATTAGCTCCCCCTGCAGGATGGGAGGAATGAAACCCAGAAACGTTCAAATGCGTTTAGATCCTGAAACAGATCCAGGAGCTCAGAAAGTTGATCACTAATCAGGAAAACTTTCTCATGAAAATGATCTCCGAAACTCAGTGAAACAAGAAAGTGAGTTTCTCGTTAAAAGCAAAAATAAAAATGTCTCCAAACTGAATGAGGGAGAAATTCCTGGATCAGAACCCAGAGGTTCTGCTGAGCTCTGAGGACGTTGATGAACCACAGACCAGCAGTTCATCAGGTCATCTGAGTCGGACCGGAACCGACCGGACTTCCTGACCGGGTCGGTTCTGGGAGCCGGACCTGGTTCCTGCAGTGGGGGCGGTAAGTCTGCGACCCGGTGGGTCGCTCCAGAACTTATCGGGTTCTTTCCCTGTCCGGTTCCGCCTCGCTCTGCCGTGTTGTTAGAATCTAAAAAAGCTGATTTTAACCTCAACGCTGCAGCAGAACCGCTCCGACCCGGCCCGGCCCGGCTCTCAGTGGGAGATCTCGGCAGCGTTGTTGCGGTTTCCATATTTGTGGTGGATGATGAGGAGCAGGACGCCCAGCAGGAAGCAGACGGAGCCCACGCTGACGTAGGCGATGCCCAGGAACGGGTTCTTCCCGCCCATCCAGGAGATGGTGCTCAGGATCATCCGCTTCCGGCCCTCGAAGCTCCGCACCGGATAATCTGGGATCCGCTCGTTAAGGAGGAAGACTCTGGATCCCAGCTGGGCTTCTACTGGGAACATGGATTTCTGTAGGAGAGCTCAAAGTGACCTCTGACCTCTGACAGGATACTGTACACCACCTCCAGGGAGTAGTTGCCGCGCGGCAGCGTGGGATGCACGTTGCTCCGCCTCTGGATGATCCGGTACAGCTTCCGGAACGTGGGCAGGGCGGCGGTCCGCATCCACACGATGAAATCCTCGTTGATGAATCCGTTGTTGTCCGGGTCGGAGTCCAGCTGGAACACGGGCCGGCGCCAGTTCACCGGCCGCGTCGTCCCTGAACCGGAGGAAGGTCAGAGTTTAACAGCGACTGGAGCGGGCCGGTCACTGGGTCAGCACCGGTTCACACACATGGTTCCGAGACCAAAACCAACCTGATGTCTAATCTATTCTTATATTCGACACTTTATTTCTTTACATTTCAAACAGTAATAAAGAAATCGACCCAGAAGTTTTTCTGATAAATGATGATATGTTGTTTTGAAGCCATTTTCCACCAACATAATGATGAAAACGTAAGAAGAAAAACTTTATATTCTAATGAACATTTAACTCTGGAACTGGAAAACATTTAAATATCCAAAATAAATCAACAAAACTGGTAGAAAGAGAAAAACAATTTCTGTCAAAGGAAATTATTGATCTCATTTTAATTTATCGTTTGATTAACTGACTCATTGCAGCCGGTCCAGTTGCATCACCAGGTTCTGCCAACTTTGATTCCTCAGGAATCAGTAGAGATGAAAATAAGAACGTTTTTCTGTCTCGGTTTGAACCGGAGGGAAACCGGACCGGATTCCGGTTTGGACCAGGCGGTTCGGCTCGTTACAGGAACTGACGATACCTTGGAAAACGACGGTGAGGTTCGTGTTTTCTGCTCCAGGATTCCTGAACTTCACGTGTTTGTCCGTCCACCAGGCGATTCCTGTGGCCGTCAGCGGGATCTGGACCTTTGTGCCGTTTGGGTCGATGTAAATCAGCTCCAGTGAGTCTAAAAAATAAAAATACTGAATGAATTGAGCAGAAGATGTGGAGCGGTTCTGCAGGGAAAGCCCGAGTCGTCACCGTTAAACATGCTGTTGGCGATGGCTCCGCACGGCGCGATGGGCTTGTTGTTGTGCTTGGCGTACGGCTCGCACTCCTTACTGGGTTTCTGTTGGGAAGCAGAGAAATAAACGTAACGACTGGATGAAGCAGAACGTCCTGAGCAGCGCAGCCTCACCCTGAGGGACTCCTCGTTTCCGTTCAGCTGGCTGTCGTCTCGGGACTTGACGTAGCGCCGGTGGTTCTGGTAGAAGTTGGAGAGTCCGTAATACATGAAGACGTTGCTCTGCGGGTGGAAGAGAGACGGTTAGGCCCCGGCTGCAGCGGGCTGTGACCCGGAAAGCAGCAGCTCTTACTTCGTACGGCTGGTCCAGGTGGAAGGGGACGGAGCAGGTGCACGGCTTGGTGCTGTTCCAGCTGAAGTTCTGGGAGCAGGTAAAACACGGACTGGACATTTCTACTCCTGTGTAATCGACCTGAACAGAAACCATCGTTACATGCTCAGCATCGTGGATCTGAGACTTTTGAACCCAACAGCTGCACTAGATACCAGATACACATCGTCACTAAAATGAAGGATTTTTGGATGGAGTTTGGTTGAACCTTTGAAAACTTGGCTTTACTGTTAATTATGTTTTTCATTTAAAATTTTGCCAAATCACCCAGAGGACCTCAGCTTTCTAAAGAAATATTTATGCAGAGAATGTTTTACAAAGACAGAACAAATGGAGCTTTATTCAAGGATTCAGTTTTTATTTAATTTATTTGTCAAATCCTTCATAGAAACAGTAAATAGAGAGCTGCTTCAACCCATAAAATTAAGAACAGGACCGTATTTTAAATTGATGTTCATACCACTGCACCAAAGGAAGAAATGTCACTAAAACAGCAGATTTCTGAACGGAGTTTGGTTGACAGATTTTTTAAAACTTGGACTTAGGGCTTTGATGCTGTTTGAAATTTTTAATTACACGGAATCAAGCAGAACATTTTATTTGTAATAAATCTTTATGAAATTGTAATAAAGGGTGTGTTTTATTTTAAAAAAAAGGAATAAAATGCCACTAAAATGTCATATTTTCGAAGTCTGGTTGAAAAATTTTTAAGGCTCGGCTAATTTCTTTGGTGTTATGTTTTTATTTTCTTTTTCTTTTAGCGGAATCATCCGGAGGGGCTAAGTCTTAGAAACAAATGTTCACTTTCCAACAGAGAGAGCAGTTTAAACACCCCAGGAGGAAATGTCTCTAAAACACCAGATTTCTGAACGGAGTTTGGTTGTGCTGTAACAGCGTGTCACTGGGTTGCTTAACGGTTTCTGTTGATTCTCTAACAAACATGGCTACCTCGAACTCCTTGATGTTGTTGGACGTCACGTACAGGCCGATGCCGATGGGGATGAACATGAGGCCGATGATGAAGAAGGCTGGCAGGACGGTCCCTGCGGTCAGGATGGGCTGCCAGGCCGGGAGTCTCTGCTGCTTGAAAGCGGTGTTTTCAGGCTTCTTGCTCCGCAGAGAGCCGCCCCCGGCCCCGGCCGCGGCTCCGGATCCCGACACGGTGATGTGTCCGTCCTCGTCTTTGTAGCTGGAGGCCATCATTTCCAGCGAGAGGTTTGTAAAACAACTGTTGACCGTTAAACTGACGGATTTAAAGCATTGTTATAAAATCACAGCAGCCACCAACGTCTTCCTCCGACTTCTCTAGGACCAGTGCTGCCCCCTGCCGTCTAGATAAGGACAGTGTTTGTTTTCTGTCTCAAAAGCGCCACCTTCTGGCTCGTTTTGGTAATACAGTTAATAAATCTAGAATTAAAAACTTAAAATAACAAAATACCAAAGCGGAAAAAATTTATTAAAATTGACTTTAAATAATAGATGTAATTAAATTCTGACTTAAATCTCAGAATTCCTTTTTCAATAACCCCTATATCTCCTCCATAAATTAAAGTAAAAATACAAATAGAATATAAAACTCAGAAGAATGATTTAAAGTCAATTAAAACTATATAAATAATGTAGCTGCAGTTATGGGACACAAAGCAGTAAAACTAATAAATGAAGATAAAATTAAAAATGAAAAATTTTAATTCATTGAAACATCAAAAATAATTATACTGAATTAAACAGTGATGATCTGTTTGCACTTGACTAAAGAAATATTTGCTGAAATAAAATGTAACAAACCAACAAAAGAAATACAAAATATACAGCAATAATCTTTGTGATGAATTAACATACATATGCGTGTTTTTGGACATTTTTATGGATTATTTGAGTCAGATGAAATAGCAAAATTTATTTAG